TAGACCCTTGACTTTCACTTAAAATTAACTGGCTCATATCACGTTGTTTCAAACAAGTCTCTAAATGACGCCCCAAATTACCAGTTCCATACTAGCAGCATTATACTCAATCTTACATTTGTTGCATTGTGCCTTTGTAACATTGTCTTGATTTACATACTTTCTAAAATACCCCATACCTCTGATGTGGAAGTACGTTGCCGCTTTTCATCATTCTTATTATCTCCACTTTCTGTATCTGGGGCAACATTGAATGTATTCTCAAGCTCAATATTGACATCTACAGTCGGTTGAGTACATGATGTATCCTCCATTTTTCTGGACAATTAGAAAAATTAGAAACGTAATGAGATTCCAGAAATTAGAAACATAATGAACATTCAAAAACGTAATGAACAGAAAGCTTCAGGTGATCGACACATCAAGTTAGAGTGTACACAGTGGAAGTTTCAGGTAATGAACAGAAAGTTAGAGTTGATTTGGTTTGGGGCATGACAATCTATTTTAGGACTAAAACAGAAAGCTTTTAGTTACATATAATCTTGAAAATAAATTCTGATTGCAAGATGCACACATTACACAGACACATTACACAGAAAGCTTTAAAACTTTTACTGTTATCACCTTTAGACGCAAGCTGCTGGAGAATCAAAGCTTGAGTGGACTTTTTTGAGTAGCACCGCAAAAAATAAGGAGGGTAGTCAGAATATGAATAACAGAAAGAATATCCTCCAAAGCCAACGAAGCATCAACAAGCTTAATCACGAATCTGGACATAACACATAAAGTAATGAACATGCTCAACCCAAAATCATGAGCTCTGGACATAGATCAAGTTGGAACTCATAACAAAATGAGCATTCTAAAAGCATAGAACATGATCTTAGTTTCTAAAAATTCCAACAAAGATCAAGCTTAATCCGGAATTCCAATGAACAACAAAAACAAAACATCACCCAGAATTTTGTTTCCAACAATACAAACCATTTGACTACTACAATCAGGATAAGTGTACGACTACCGAAATAAGTGAAAAAATATATATATTCAATACAATGGTGATACCATCCCACACCCCACAATAGGAAAATGAACAAGTCAATTCCACGATAATTACTAAATCTAACAGAATAAGGTGTATATGGATTGAAATTATTGGAGAGTTCAATGTGAACATAAATTAATTTTAGTATCCATGTTCATCTTATCCTGTTAGAGATCAACATCGAGATCCCGAGAGTCCTGGAAAGAGAATACCAAAAAGTCCACTCAAAAGATGAGTAAAGTTTGGCATGACTTAGCAAGGGTTTGATGATACCATCAAACTCGAGCCTTTTCATTGGCTTTGAGATTTGTGAAATAGCAAATTAGTAACCAATAACAAAATCTGTGTACATGAGTAATTATCTCAAGCTAGAGGCCATACTAAATGCAATAACAATTTCAAGCTGCTCTATTTCACCATATTAACAATTTGAAATTGCTCTGTTTCGCTGGTCGCCAAGAGAGATCGCCAAAAATATACGTCAAGATAAAAAACAACGCCAAGAGGAAGAGACAGAGAGTGAGAGAGAGAGCTAACCTAGTCTAGTCTGCTGGTCACCAAGAGAGATCGACTGGAGTCTGGACAGAGAGAATGAGGGAAGGAGGGAGGCGGCTGGACAGAGGGAAGGAAAAAATAATTAAATGTTTTATATAGTGGTGGGTTAATTCCGGGTCAAAATATGTCAGCGGGTTTGTGTCAACCCGATTAAATATACGGGTCAATTTGGGTAAATTCGGGTTAAGCGGGTTGAACCCAAACACGACCCATAAAAATTTTGTGTTTTGTGTTGAAGGGTCGTGTCAAAAAATTAGTCAACCCAAACTCATTTATTTGTATCGTGTTTCGTATCGGGTTATCGTGTCGTGTTAAAAATTGCCATCCCTAACTTTGATTATATGGCATATACCTGAGTTTATGGTGTTCTATGTTTTATGTTATATTTTACAATATCGTCTTTTGTGAAAATACATTGACGGGTTTTACTTTCAGATTTTAGGTAAATCTGAGCATTATTAATGGTTTTGGAGTGAAAACCTAGTTTTCTAGCCCACCAAGAAAAAAAAAAAAGGAAAAAAAGGCTACACCTTTTTCTTTCGCAGTGTAAGTTTGTAAGTTTCCTCGATATATTTTGTTACTTCTTGTTCTTTTTCAATTATTTGTAGTGCGACACAAACTTGTTCTTCACATTGTTTCTATTTCTTTGTATGTGAGAGCCCATTGGCATAGGTTTGTGTGGTTCGAGCCCCACTGCTCTCTCTGTCTCTCTCCAAGAAAAGATAAATAAAAAACCTGATGTGATTCAACACATTGTATGCATTAGTCTCTGGTTTTCCTTTGTTCATCATCTGTGTTTGCAAGTATCTTTCTCTTATATATATTATTTCCTATTTCTTGTATCCCTCTACATTGCGAGGTTGCATGGTACGGGTTTCCAGAGTATATAGGATGCTTGGTGTGTCCTTCTAGGAGACGTTTGCTTCAGCAGCCTGCCCATACACATTGGTTTTCCTTTTTTCTGAACTTGCTCTTCCTGTTTGTTCATTTGGAGAAGTGATTGCTTCCTTGGTTCCTTTTTGCTTGGTCTGTTGTTTTGCAGGGATTTAATTGTGTATATTGCTCTGCCGGTTTATATGGCAGTTCTTCACAGATATGGTACCATTTTAATGGTTCTCCCTTGTATGGTGTTTTTTGTTTGTTTTCCATAGGTCCGAGTGTTTATATTTGGTTGAGATAGGTGAATTGTGGTTATTTGCAGTTTGAGGATAGGGACCTTTTATCTCAGAGGATCATATCGTCTGTGGAATAAGAATGTTTCGGATGTTTAAGAGTACCATTTGTGGTAATTATTGTGTTCTAGTGTGCCTTCTTCTATTGCTTGTTTGTGAATTGGAGTGGTAAATATGAAAGTTCCCTTTTCTATCGTCTTCCGGTTACCCCTATTGCTCTGGAAAACCAGCATCTCCCTATCCCCACCTCCAAAACACAAAAAACTACAAATCCCACCCAACCCTTCAAACCAAATCTATATAATTTTGCGGAATTTCAAGTACTGGGTGGCCAATAGGCGTTTAGAAAATTTGGTTATTGTGTTGCATTGCTATTGTTCCAAATTGAGTTTTTGGCTAATCTGCTTTCTTGATATGGCATCGAATCTACAGGAAATTCAAAAAGTTTCATTTGTGTGGAGGTCTTCAAATAAAAACTTATGGTTATTTTCTTCATTATTATTTCCAGAATTAATCAACACTTCTATCTAGGCCTGAGGGTCCTCGTTTCTCTATAAATTGGTGATTTTGTAGATTATTCCAGCATTGAAATTTTTTCATGGGCATTTAGAGGGTGACTTCTGTTTTTTTTTTTTTGTGGGTGGGTTGACTGGTTTCAGTTTGGATTGTTTCAGTCTGGGTTTTTTGGTTGGTGGGTTGACTTACTGCCCGGATTGGACTCTCCTTTTAGGAAATTTTTCTTCGTGGAATTTGGCGGATGTTGGAAATGCTTGTTGGTTCTGTTTTGGTTTTAGAAGTGATTCTTGTTGGTGCACTCTCTTTGTGCGTGTGAGCAGTACTTTGCTCTGTTGTGGACTCTTGGCAACTTGTAATCTGTGTGCAAGCTTTTTGGTGTTGTCCATCATGTGCACCAACTATGGACTGTAACGAGTAATTGAAACATGGATGCCCAAAGAATGAGGTATTTGGGAAGTCCCTCTTCCTCTCTTGTTATGGGTGTTTGGAAACTTTTTTTTTTTTTTGGGTGTTGCTTTAGGGGAAAGCTCTGGTTGTAAGCTGGTCCCATTTGCTCGTTCTTTTGGTGTTTTCTGATCTCACAAGCAGATGCAGACAGATTAATGCAGTCTTGCAATGGCAACACTTATTTTTGCCATGAAACTTAAGGTTGACTTTGTCATCCACAAACCCATAGCTGAAACACTTTCAATGTTGAATGTGTAGGGACTGCCGCCCAACTGCTGTGGGTGGGCCACTTATTCAGTCAGAAATCTGAGTTCTGTATCCTGAATTGCGACAAGTGGGATTTAGTTTGGTTTTTCTTTTCCTACTGATTGCCCAAGTGGAACTGATGGAATCAGAAATCACAGATTTTGATGCATTGTCAAAGGTTTTGGTTTGATTAGGTAGGGGGCCACATGCTGTTTCGATTTGATTTTATTTGTTCATGAGAAACCCTTTAGAACTGTTTTATGGATCATTGTTTTGGTATGTTCTTGTGTTTTTTTTTTTTTGGCAGGCAATAGAGGACCAATTGTAGGAGATTGGCTGTGCAGTAGATGATGGTAGGAGGATTCATGAGTGATGTTTGGCTACTTTAATTTGTTTTTAGGAGCCTTCTACCGGCCTTGTCACTGGTGACTAAGTGGTGAATTTCTCGTTCTACGTATGGCTTTTTTTTTTTTTAAATCAAATCGATTAGTGGCCTTTTTTGTGGGCTTCCTCCAGGTTGAGGTTGCATTGCGGGTAGATGGTCTTGTGTAACTATTCTTTATTGCATACAAGTGAAAAAGAAAGAAAAGAAGCCTTTGGCTGGCATTGCCTTTGGTCTGCTAATGGCATCTGGTTTACTTCTAAGATGGTCATTTCCAAATTCCAATCATATGCACTTGATAGTCTTGGTGTTGACATGATTTTTCTCCTGAGCGAATGCTTCTATTTCGATGGGCATACTTCCCAGACAATCATTTGTCCCACCCACAGTCGGAAATCTGAGTTCTGTATCCTGAATTGCAACAAGTGGAATTTTGTTTGGTTTTTTTCCTACTGATTGCCCAAGTGGAGCTAAAGGAATCAAAAATCACGGGTTTTGGTGCATTGTCAAAGGTTTTGGTTTGATTATGTTGGGAGCCACATGTTGTTTCGATTTGATTTTATTTCTTCATGAGAAACTCTTTAGAACTGTTTTATGGATCATTGTTTCTGGGATGTCGCTATTTTTTTGTTTTGCAGGCAGTAGAGGACCAGTTGCAAGAGATTGGCTTTGCAGTAGATGATGGATAGGAGGATTCACGAGTAATCTTTGGCTACTTTAATTTGTTTTTAGGAGCTTTCTACCGGCTTTGTACTGGTAACTAAGTGGTGAATTTCTCATTCTACGTATGGCTTTTTTTTAATCAAATCAATTAGTGGTTTGCATTGCAGGTAGATGGTCTTGTTTATTAAATACAAGAGAAAAAGAAAGAAAAGAAGCCTTTGGCTGGCATTACCTTTGGTCTGTCAATGTCATCTGGTTTACTTCTAAGATGGTCATTTTCAATCATATGCACTTGATAGTCTTGATGTTGACTTGTGATTTTTCTCCCAAGCGAATGCATCTGTTTCAATGGGCATACTTCCTAGACTGTTATTTGTGTTCTCCGCGGGAAATATGGGCATTTTCACAAGTGACAAATTTATTTTTTGGGGGCACAAATGTGTTTTTCTGTGTTTTGACACATTTTTTGAACCCGGAACCAGGAAGAGTCGCCAAAAAATGTTGCTTATAAATTAGATTTGCGCAGGTGAGATTGAGCAGGAAGTCAATATGTCATTCTCCCAATGTACAAGTGAATGCGGGCACCTGGGAAAGGGGGACTGAGGAACGTTGGTGTGTAAAAAGGCGACAGCTATCCTAAAAAACTTTAGTCTGTGACAAAGTAATGTCGCTTGATGTGGTTCAGGTGCCAGAGCATTGAAGATTTTCTCTGCAGAAAGAGCAGAATTCAATATATCTCATGTTGCGAGCGTGAATGATGCATGCAACTTTGAGACAACGGAACATTGTTGGAGTATTAGATGCTACATGTAAGATCTGAGTGGGGGGTTTGGAGTGAAGACAGAGCATGGCTTTACAAATATTCTTTTTACTTTTTAGTTTTAAGATCAACTGGTTTGAGCAAAATTGTTGATGTTGAAGGTTACTTAAGGTCTCCTATTTCCTTAAGCCCCGCTGTCTTCTGGAAGAGAAAATACAGTGATAGTAAATAGCATAAATGGTTTATGATAAATCTCTGAAGTTGTGCCGAAACTACTTGGATCCATTCAGGCCTGCATAGTGGAGAGGACCATAGGGCGCAAACATCTCAAAGAGAAACCGTCCCTTCCTTCTTGGTCTGAGATCCATGTACCTGCATAACTGGTCGTTGCAGTATATCTGCAGGATCACGCCAACACAAGCTCTTTTGTAGCTCTTGCTTCCATAATGCATACACTTCTCCCACTTCGTGACACCCTCTGCCATTTCATGTATTGTCGGTAACTTGAAATATCCAGGAAGAAAATGCACCAGCCCCTTGTTCGTCATTTCTGTTGTATATAAGATTGTAGGACTCTCTGAATATTCGAGCATCACTAGCTAAGGAATCTGTGGATGGATGCACTCCCCGTAATAGCAAATATGTACAGTACTATCCAACTTGTTCGATGTACTATTAATTTTCTTTTAATATAATGTATTTTTTTCCTATCAAAATTAAAAAAAAAAAAAAGGTATGTACGGTCTCATGGTCAAGCAAATAGTGTTGTCTTCTGACCCAAAACAATTGGTGATACGATACTTTCTTTCAAGCAAGTACATACAATTGTTTTTCTGGGTTTTTTTATTTAACTTTCTTGTGAGATACTGATATTTTAGCAAGTGAAGTTGCAGCTGGTATGGTGTTCTCTTCGGCTTTTTTGGGTGATCAACTTTGTTCAGTGTGCGAGAAGTTGTGGCCTATTCTCTCTGTTGCTCATGGTTCAGCCGACACCTTGTTGGTTTTAGAGGTCTGAAGATGCTTCTAATCATGAGTAGCCTCATTGTTTGTTCACTTTCTTCTGGCCTACCTTTCTATTTGTTTCGGTCATTCCATTGATCATCAACATCAAGCTTTGTGTATGGCATTTCTAGGAGTGCCGCTTGGTTGTTTTTGGTGTTCATGTTACTCTGGATTGGTTGCCTTACTGTGCAGACATGTTTTCACCATTGCTTCTAGCAAATTCAGGTTATTTTGGCACACTAACCTTTTTCATGAATTCAGCTGCAAGGAGTGTTGATATTTTATACAGTGTTGAGAATTGTAATCCTGCTATAGATTGTTAAACGTTGTGATGCTGCTTCTGGAAATTATGCATGCTACACTATTGTAATCCTTCTACTGCTGGTTTTTTCACTTTCTTGCTTGATACTATAATGTAAGAAGTGAAGTTCCTGGTTTGGTGTGCTTTTCGTCATTGTTATTTTCATGATTTGATAACATTCCTGGTTTGAGGGTACTTGCTACACATCTCACCTGTTTTTTAAGCTTTGGGCTTTGTGAATGGCATTTATGAGAAGAGTTTGGTTGTTTCTGTTGCTTACATTAGTTTGGATTGTTGCAATGCATTATGTTACTCTGGTGGTTGTTGCTGGTGTTCATATTAGTTTGGATTGTTGCATTGCATTATTTCACTGCAACAATTGCTGCCAACAAATATCTGTTATTTTGGCACATTTTTTTTTATGAATTTAGCTGGTAGTTTCAAGTCTTATGTAGTGTTGAGCAATGTGGTCCTGTTGTAGATTGTTAACTGTTGATCAGTGGCTTAGCAAAGAAAAGTTGTTGGCGCAGCTGCTGCTCTGTTATCTCCTGTTCTCATCTGTCTGCACGAATGGGCAATTTGATGAATTGTTTTCATTCATCTTTTTTTCCCCCTGCAAAGTTCCTTTGTGTTTGGCAAACACAATATTTGTGTTTTTCTTTGTGGTACTTTTCCTGCTGTTAGCATGTATTCATTTGCAACAAATCCGAGACCCAATGCATCAAATGTCCCTGTTTGCTACTTTATGCTTTCCATAATTTGAAAAATTTCCCCTTGGTATGTGTTGTAGACCTTCTGAATCTATTTTTTTTCTGTGTGCAGTCCAAATTGCAAGTATGATGAGGACTTGTATTGCTAAGGATGAATTTGAAAGGCATGAGGGGTGCAAATGCTTTTCACATTGTTTGGTAGTGGTGGTTATGCTCTATTTGGATAATGCCAAGGGCATCTTCTTTATTGACTAGTCTTTATAAACTAGGAGAAGTGCGCAAGAGAAGAGGTAAGACTTAGCAAATTTTTTCCTTTGCAACATGCGTTATATGAGCATAATTATTAATGCACTTGGAGTCAAATCCTTGTTTGCTCTCCATTTTTGGGGTTGATAATTGTATGGTTTTTGACCTACCTCCACCCCGAGGAGAAAAAATTCTTTCCCATAAAGGGGGAAACTTCACTCCTTTTTGTTTCATTGTAAGTTTTTAATTTTCCTTCCTATTATGCTCATGATGTTTTACCCTTCTCTTTGTATTTGCAATGTCCATCAAACTGATTCCATCTTGAGTGTTCACTGGACTGTAAGAGGTGATGGTTTTGTTTCTAAGGGTTCTGTTGCAAGATGTTCTGATCCTTTTCTCCTTTCAACCCCTTGGCCAGAAATTTTATTGTATCATCTCTCTTCCTTCGCACTTATTCTATGTTCTTGTATATGGTGCATATAATAATCTGAACCGAGGCAACCTTTCTTAATTATTGCCACTATCCATTATGGAATGGAGATTTGTGTGAATAAGAAACAGTATATTGATAAAAAGAAAATTTTTTTTTTGCAATATCAAAAGAGCTATTGAGTTGGGGGTAAACAATTTCTAACCATCTTGTTATCCCGTAACGAACATAGGTGGTGGCTTTACTGTTCAAAGACGAAGTCATTTTGGTAAATGTGTAGGCACTTTGTTCTCCGGATGCTTTTGTTGATGCTTTTAGCTACTCGTTTTTGAATGATCGTTTGTCGCCTTTTGAATTCTGGCTATAGACTTTTTTTCGTCGGGCGTTGTTGTTGCGGGTGTGGTTGCACAAAATAATATGTTATGTCACTGGTCAACAACCCCAACTTCCCCCCACTCCATACATACCTTAGTTTGTGGTTTTACATATCTTCTGTGTTTATATGTATCTGAGTTCTCTCCCTCTTTTTTTTTTATAATTTTTTTATTTCGAGTTTCAAAATTGCATTAGCTGCCTTTGATCTGTCCCTTAGGAAGTCCATACTAGTGGTTCAGTTGGTCTCTTGTTTTCTGAACTCATTGTTCCTATTTTTTGATTTAGATTAGTGATTGCCTATTTGATTTGGGGTATCTTTTTGGTTGGTCTGTTGTTTTACGGGGATCTAACTTTATATGTTTGATATGGATCACAGTTCTCGTTGCATATACTGTACAATGTTCTCCCTTGGTTTTCTTGGGGCCGAGGGTTTGCTATCTGGTTAAAGTAGACGTATTATGGTTGTACGAGTTGATTGCAGGAACCCTTTTTATTTAACAGGATTTTTATTCACGAAATAAGGATGTTTTCATCTATCTAAGAGCATCACTCCTGTGAATTAGTGGACATGGATTGTTTGGAATTAGTCTTGTTTCTGGTAGTTGACCTATTTCAAATTCAATGTTTTTGTGTTGGGGTGATCCATGGCTTTCCAATCCCCTTCTTTTGATAGGGCATCGAATATACAGGAAATTTAAGTACCATCTGAGGTGGTGGTCTTTGCGTTATGTTCTTTTCTTATTGTCATTTCCAGATTTAATCAACACTTCTATTTGGGTCCCTGGTGGAATTAATCAACACTTCTATTCCAACATTGTGATTTTTCAATGGCATTTAGAGGGTTAACTTCTAGGTGTTTGAGTTGACTTGTTTCAATTTTGGATGGTTGCTCTTATCGGGTTTAGCAAGTGAAGGTCCAGCATGGGCCTCGACTTTCCTCGTCTTTTATAATTTCCTTTTTTCGTTGCCATTCCCACAGTTGACAAAATTTTCATTCTTTTGAAATGTTTTTTGCTCCTGTGTCGTAGCCAGAATTCTTGCATTGATGAATTAACTTCATGAGCCTAAGAACGCCATTTCTGTGTAATTTTTTGTGGTTTGTGCTGCTCGGGTGTAGCAGCAAGGAAATATCTTAATCCATGCTTGACGACTTTGCTGGTAGAATTTTGGAAATGTTTTTTGGTGCTTTAGAATGGTGGTTTCTGTTGCTGCGTACCGTGTGAGGTTGTAGCACTGTGCTCTGTTCTGGACTCTAGGCAACAAGGTAAGTTGTGCACTGTGAAAGCGTGTGTGGAAAAGACATCCTTCTTTATGGATGTCCCTTTGATACCCCAATAAACAATGATTATCATAGCTTGGAAAACCCCACGAGGATTAATTTACATCATTGTAGCATTTTATTTATTAGTCAATTTACAACTATTACAACTACACAGGTTGTATGGCCAACAAGTACATGACATTGCTGCTGCTACTGCACGACGAGCACGACACTACTCCCATGCAAGGATCAAAATGTCGTGTCGACACGTCCGAAACGTTTCGGAATTTCAACACTCCGAAACGAAACAGTAGTTGAATCACAAAATTCCAGTGTTTCGGTCGAAACGGTACTGTTTCGGACCGTTTCGGTCGAAACGGCATTGTTTCGAACCGTTTCGACAAAACAGTGATATATTCGGTTCATTATGAATAATTACATTTAATACCCCATTATAATTATATTTAATACCCACTGTAATTACATTTAATACTCACTATAATTATATTTAATATCCCACTATAATTACATTTAATTCCCACTGCTCTTCTGTTTTTTATAATTTTTTTGTTATAAGAATAAATAATTACACTTAATACCCTACTATAATTATATTTAATACCCATTATAATTATATTTAATACCTCACTGCTGTGCAAGTTTTTTGCTTTTTTTTTTGTTATAAGTATTAACAATTACATTTAATACCCTAATGTAATTATATTTAATACCTACTGTAATTACATTTAATACCCACTGCAATTACATTTAATTTTTAAGTATACATAAGTATCATTAATTTAATTTGATACCCTTCATTATTAGTATTATAATAAAATAGTATTATTAATTGGATTATATTACCGTAATAATATGATTTGGAGTAACTATTGTCATCATATTTATGTCACATATGGAGTTTCTCTAAGTAGCTACCCAGAGCCTACACCGATGTATGAGCCTGCTCGACACTCCACAGGGGAATGGATGTAATCATGTAAGTATGTACTCATTAGCATTTCATGTGTATTATAAGACGTTAATATTATGTAAAAATGTGTTTATTTCATAAAAATTAAGTGTTTGAAACTAATTTAAGTGACTTTCGCCTCAAGTCAAGCCTTTTTTTCCCTCAAATTTAAATTTATTCTTGTATAAATTGATGTTAACCTAATAAATATGTTGAATTAATAAATTATTTAGCATATCTTTATAAATTAATGGATTGCATTTGTGTTTCTATGCGTTTCCATATTTTTTCTGCGTTTCCATTGCATTTCTGAAATGTTTCCGAAACGTTTCTATTTTTGAGTTGACCGAAACGGTACTTCGAAACGAAATTTTGATCCTTGCTCCCATGACATTTACTCCAAATCTTTGCACTCACGTTATCTAGTTTTCACCTAATCATCTATTGATACTTTTATTTTTCCTTGATGTCAACACCATGGAGCGCCTTATTAGTTATCACATCGTGCAAGTTTTTTGAAAGATATTGAGGTTATTGTTGTCTTGTGAGGGAAAAAGTAGATGGTGAAACAACGGATTTCTTGGCCAAGTTTGGCACATTGCGGTAATACAATTTTACAAGGCACCATTCACTGCCTCTTATATCGATGGCTCATGCTATGTTATTTTGCACATTGAAGTGGTATACTGTGCTGCTTTCAATGTTAAGATTAAAAGTTCACTATTGTTAGCGAGCAAGATGTGTCTGGATCACCAAATGTTTTATTCTACCCTTTGGTTCACTTTTATTTTCTCTAATCTTCATCATCTTATCCTAAATTCCACTTGATATTGGATTTTGTGCTTTTCCTGTGATGTGAAACGATGTATAAGAAATTAAGAATTTAGTGATGGAAATGAACATTGTTAGTTTTAAGTAGAGGAGCGATTTGTTTGAAAGAGAGGCCTCAGTGGTGCAAGAAGTTGCGTTATGATGGGACTGTTTGGGGAAGGCTGTGCTTTTGGAGGAACTGCTGCAGATTCAACTAGTGTACACATGTACTTTTCTGCCTGGGTCTTTCTCTTTTACCAGGCCCTGTCTTTTCCTATATATTGTTCTATTGGCTATCTTTCACTGGTTTATAATTTTTGTGTTGTGTGTTGACTATAAGTGATTTAGTAGGTGTGAGGCTGAACAAATGCAAGGAGGTGTTGGTGCACGTGTGCTAGGTTCAGCTATGTACTTGGGCTTTGTCCTGAGAATGGTGCTTTCTTGTTTTTGTTGGTTTTTATTTCCTCTCTCTCAGTCCACAACATAAAGAAGACTCAAAGAAATAGAGTTTTACACTTACTGACTAGGTTTTTTCAATTTACTGTATTCTCTCCCATGGTGGCGTTGTGTTTGTTCTCTATTCTGATTTTCTGTAGAGTACTGCATTTGGATTGAGCTAATCCTTTGGATCTTGTAGTTGGTGATTGCGTAAACCATATTTGGTATTGATAAATAACTATTTAACCTATTGCACATATTTTTTATACCTGCAGTTCAAGCATTGGGGTGTTATCTTATTGCGGCGGAATCGATCAGGAGGTTTCTATTTAGGCACGGTTACTTTTGGTTCTTAGATTGAAAATATCAAAATCTTTCTGTTTCTATCATGGGGATTTTGTTTTGCTTTGTAGCCCGAATTCTACTATAGAGATTAAATGAATTGGTGTGGATTCCATTGCCTTTGCTATGTTGGGGAAGGGAATGCTTTTGGAGCGATTGCTTCAGATTGAACCTGCATTTTCCTGTATATGCTAATTTGTTAGCTGTCGCTTTCCCAATTCTCGATTTTTCCTTGAAGATTACTGTAAGGCTGAGTACATGTAATACAATGCATGTTTTTTCTTTGGGACTGTGTATTCCCCCTTCCAACTCCCCATTGTCCTCCACGAGATACCCCTTCCACAACATATAAACAATAAAAAAAAAGGGAGTTTGCCCTTTCT